TATTAAAGTTGTTATAATGTAAATTTTTTGGATCGCTTGAAGAATCTCCACCCTAGCTTAATTCACCTTAAGATTAAACACCCTAATCTAACCAAACCTAACCTGACCCTAACCTACACCCTGGTGTCTCAAACCGTCATTACCTCACAATCTTCACGCACAAGCCCTCATAACCCTATAACCTAGTCTCACAAGCCCTCATAACCTCACAGTGGCCGGGGCAGTGTTAGGGCCAGCGAGGGCCGGGTCGTTGCGGAGGCTCTCACGCCGGAGTTACGACACTCACAATGGCCGCTGAGGACGCCAGTCTCTCTCAGACGTCCGGGAGTCGATATCTCAGACCTTTATCGCAAGTCAAGTACGATAACTTAAGAGTCGAGCGCGATGACTGACGTTTCAGTACGACAGTTGACGCTTGGGTACAATATTTTACATTCGGGTACGATGACTGATGTTTGGGTACGATAATTGACGTTTCTGTACGGTAATTAACGTTTGGATGTGATAATTGACGTTTAGGCACGATAATTGGACGTTTGGGTTCAGTAATTAACGTTTGAATACAATAATTTATATTTGGATACGATAATCGACGTTTGACTATGATAACCAACCCCTGAGTAGATCCCTTAAGCCTTCCATTCAAAGTAACTTCTACAAAAACTATCTCATTGGGTGAAAAAATAAACCCACATAAAATAGACACGAGCCAAAAATAACTTCTCATATAATTGCTCTATATTTATAAAATTTTGGGAGAATTAATTAACCAACGATCTATTTAGTCATTTAATTTCTTTCCTCGCTCTGAACAAATTAATATTTTCTAAAAACGTTTTTTCCATCATGAATTGAAACAAAAGAAATAACAAAAAGACTTAAAACAAAAACAACAAAGACTCACATGTATGTATCTGAACTAATTAAATAATGGAAGTTAATTATTCTGTCGTTTTGTAATGAACCAATTATGTTTTTGTCCCATGAATAAAAAATATTACGAAAATATTAGGAATTAAAAAAATTATCTGGGAAGACTCATTACTGATGTATTTATACAATCTAGAGTGATTTATTCCCTGACAGATTTATATCCCTATACAATAATAAAGGAAATTATTCATATTAAAAAATTTTCTTATACGAATGAATAAGATATTAATAGTTCTACCCACGAACCTTCACTCAGGAATGTACCACTGCACCTGACCATCTTAGGCACACACAGGTAGCACATACACTCTTTACGGAAAGGCCCGATGCATTTCAAAGTGAACACTGCGACTCCTGTTCTCTCGGTAGGGTTGTCAAAATCCTTCGTCCGCTGTGTCGTATTATCTCACGCAAAAAAAAAATCGTAGAGATAATTTTTTTTTAGGGAGTGCATGTGTGTTCTTAGGAAGTGTGCAGGTGTTTTTAGGGAGTGTACGGGTGTTTTTAGGGAGTGTACGGGTGTTTTTAGGGGGTGTACAGGTGTTTTAGGGAGTGTACGGGTGTTTTTAGGGAGTGTACGGGTGTATTTAGGGAGTGTACGGATGCTTTTAGGGAGTGTACGGGTGTTTTTAGGGAGTGTACAGGTGTTTTTAGGTAGTGTACAGGTGTTTTTAGGGTGTACGGGTGTTTTTAGGGAGTGTACGGGTGTTTTTAGGGAGTGTACAGGTGTTTTTAGGGAGTGTACAGGTGGTTTTAGGTAGTGTACAGGTGTTTTTTGGGAGTGTACGGGTGTTTTTAGGGAGTGTACGGGTGTTTTTAGGGAGTGTACAGGTGTTTTTAGGGAGTGTACAGGTGTTCAGCCCAGGTGATCATTATTTCCCCTCGCTGCTCTGTTATCATCACTACGGTTATTGTTGGGGGAGTTTATTAATGGCCACCTCACCGCACCTCACCTGCCTAGACACATATCTATAAACAAACACAATAAATCACCAGAGGCCATTTAATCCTTCACTCGAAAATATTTCCATTCAACGTTTAACAAAAATAAATAAAAAAAACGTGATTTAGTTGAGTTCTTTGTTATTTTTTTTGCAGGTGATTGTGTGTTTAAAGTAATAAATAAATCTTTTTATTTTTTAATTAATGAATAAGATTTTTTATGGCTCATTTGCTTAAGCCTTTATAGTTCACAGGAAGTTGCAACATTCATCATTGCAATGTGTCAAATAATTTGCAAAATTTACTTTGTATTTATTTTATTGATATTATCCAACACAATGAAATGAAAGCACTGCTCTCACAGCTTTCATATACTAGTACCAGTATTTAATAGGACGATGCAACATTCATCATCATTGCAATGTGCCAAATCGCTTTTTCCAAATATTAACTTTGTAATAATGTCATTAATATTAGTATACAACAACATGAAAAATTCTGCATCATACAGTTCATAAATCTAAACGTGAATTTAATTACATTTTGCAACATTTATCATTGCAAGGGGCCAAATCCTTTTCAAATATTAACTTTACAATAATATCATTAATATTATATATAAACA